TTGTCGGCCAGCGGAGGGTGGCGGCTCAGGTAGTCCCGCAGGAGCCCGTTGATGGCCGTGCGGCGACAGCTGCCCTGCGGCACGATGGACACCAAGGTCCTGTCGGCCAGGCTCTGGTCGAAGAGCATCCCCCCGCACTTGAACTCCACGCAGGCTCCCGAGGCGTCGCCCAGCAGCGGATCCCGCACGCTCCGGCTGTCCCGCAGCCCGTAGAGCTGTCCCCGAGTGCGGGGGTGGCTGCCCCCGACGTTCCGCGACCTCACCATGTACTCCTGCGGCCCCTCCAGCCGCACCTTGATGAAGCACGCCCGGAACTCCTGCGGGTTGGGCCACCACGCCAGGTAATCGCCGGTCCAGGAGGTGACGTCGCTCTCCTTGAAGGGCACCACGTTGTACTCGTACCTGTCCACCTCCACGCGGTAGAAGCGCAGGTGGTTGGCCCCGACCGGCGCCTCCTCGCACTCCCGGAGGCTCCGGTAGGAGTAGACGGGCCCGTTCCTCTCGTCGGCGTCGTTGGGGTCGGGTTTGGCCACGTTGATCTGGAACGCCGTCTTCTTCAGCGCCGCGTCCTCGTGGTCCGAGCGCCGGTAGCCCAGCTTGCCCAGGTAGGGCTGCGCCACCCCCACGGCGTTGGGGTTCAGCTTGGGGCTGGAGGCCACGGCTTCCAGCTCCTCGCCGCCCAGCGTGGCCGTCACCAGCGCCGTGTAGGCGTCGGGGCGCCGGCCGTCGCAGAAGGCGGGCAAGCAGGCGCCGTTGGGCCCGGTGACCACGCTGTCGAAGCGGCCCCAGGCCCGCGGGTTGCTGGGGAAGCCGGGCTGGGGCTCCAGGTTGATGAGGTTGATGACCACCCCTTCCAGCTGCTCGTAGGGGTTGAACTTCTCGTTGCTGTAGGCCCTGACCTTGACGAAGCAGCGGCGATCCTCGGGCACGTCCAGGTTGAAGAGGCGCCGCTCGCGGATCTCCAGGTTGCCCACCAGGAAGGTCCTCTCCTCCCTCTTCCTCCGGCCGCCGGCCGGCCGCAGCACTCCCTCCTCCTCCCACAGGCCGCTCTCGGGGTTCAAGGACCACAACTTCATCTTCTTCAGGTGCTCCGGCATCCACACCTGCCCCGCGTCCATCCTCACCTGCACCGGCCCCGCCTGCAGCTCCGCGCCGCTGCCGCCCTCGCGGAACTCCACGGCGAACATCCCGTAGGTGCGCAGGGGGACGATTTCCCCCTCGGCGTCGGCGAAGCTCAGGTCGCTGGAGGCGGCGCTGGCCGTGCTCACATCCCGCGGGTCCACGAAGGTGACGCTGGCTTGGACCGTGCCGTTAAAAACCTCTCCGGACGGCCGCAGGAAAACCCCGGCCGGCAGCAGCAGCTCCCCGACGGGCTCCCGGCCGCCGGCCTCGCCCAGGGGGATGGAGTTGCTCCGGCCGCCGTCCAGCTCCACCGGCTCCTTCTTGCGCAGCATCTTCACCTCGTGGTACACCGCTCCTCCTCGCGGGTCGAAGGGCAGCACCTTGACGGCGTCCACCAAGCGCTGCTGGCCGTCCACGAAGCGAGCCACCAGGCGCTGCGTGTCGGGCGGCACCTCGATGGTGAAGGAGCCCTGGTAGCCGGTGAAGCCCACTTTGGTGGCCCCCAGGAAGATGTGGCCGAAGCGCAGCGGTTCCCCGGTGTCGGCCGCCGTCACCCGGCCCCGCACCAACAGCCGGGGCTGGGCGCAGGGCCCGCAGCCGCACTCGGTCACCACCTTGAGGGGCAGCAGGGAGCCGGCGCACGGCACCTGCCGCAGCTCCATCCTGCGCACCCCGCAGCACAGCCCCGAGCTCTGCCCGCAGCCCGAGGGCTCGGAGGGGCCGCCCGGGCACGGCGAGGCCGGGCAGCGCCCCACGTCGTAGAAACGGGAGCCGCCGGAGTCCTGCGGGCACTCGCGGGGCAGCTCCACCAGGCTGGGCTC